CCTACTACCGCACTGTCCTCGTTCCGGGGAATACCTACGTCTACTATCAGACAGGGATTGCCCGTCTTGAGGTACGGCTATGCAGGATGTACGCTCTCGCGGGTTATTCAGAACTCACGCGATTTATTGACAGGGATTCAGCACTCGTTTCACGATGCGCTTATCTATACCAGAACGTCAAAGGTTTGTCATGAGAGATGTTCACTGACCGTGCGACGTGCTTGGTCGGCATAGTCGCGCACCCCTGACTTCTGGTCCTTTCCGACTTGGTCCGATTCAAGTGGTGGCACGTTTCCGCCTCGCGGTTCGCAGGAATCTAGCCAGTAAATGTAAAATTGCAGATCGCTAACGTGAGTGATCTCGTCTGTCAAGCTTTTCGAGCTCAGGTGTTATGGTTGCGCAGGCGGAATGGGAGCTTGATCATTCCCCTAAGGGGGTTGAGGAGCCAAGAAACGAGAGCTGAGAACCCATGAATGGCAATGGCAACCCACGTCTCCTCTCACCACTTGGTTCGAACTTCTCTACAATTTATACCTCTCCCTGACATCCGGATGTCCCCCCTTCCTCTGACCTGCTCTCGTTCTACCAGCATCCCATCCTTGTCGCTCTAACACCCCAAGTTCTTCGGTCATTCCTTGGTTCAACGTCGCGCTGGCCTTCGATGATTCCTCGACTCAGGCCATAGTGCACTCCCTCAATCGCCGCCAGACCGCTACCGAGGGTCTTGTGTCTGGACAGCCCGTCGCTGGTCCAGTACAAGCCCCAGACGGCTCTGACGAGTTCCCTGACGCTCAGTCGAGCATCCTTGTTGCTCTTCTTTATGCCTTCTTTTGACAACTCAGCATTGTCAACGATGCTTTTGCCGATATCGCTCCTCACAGTGACAGCGATCAACAGAACGCCCAGCCCGCTGCACCTCATGGCCTGTGTTCTCGCTCCTGCATCGACGACGTGGATGACAGCTGATGTAAAAACCAGCGTCGCAGTCCCCGCGCCCGGAGATGTGCTCGGATCACTGGAAAACCCCGGCCGAGCCCAAGCTATACCACACCGAGGACATTACCCAACTCTGGTCCACTGCTGGAAGCACCCGCACACAGCGGGGATCTGCATGGGAAGCATTCCATGCAGAATATTGTGTGTCCTGTAGCTCTGAAACCGCGTAGAATGAGGCGGGGCACACTTCGCGCAGTCACGGCGAGCTTGTCCTCCGACTGGGAGGTGGCCGGAGCGCTGGCTTGAGGGGCTCGGCAGGGGGCTGCCGCTGATCCGAGCACAGGGAGGCCTGGGGGAAACGCGACACTGGTTTTTACATCAGCTGTAATGCAGCTAGTTGGAGCGTCTCAGTAACAGCGGCGTCACGGGCTGTCAAACGGCAATCGGCGGCATTTTGTAACCCCGCTAGGACAAGACACACACCTCCGCTATCCCGGCTGAGCTTAGTGTTGCCGCCAAGCTGAGCCGGCTTGTCCAGCTAGCTTGGCTTGCCAGCTAGACGCCCGGCTTGCTGGAACAAGCCAAGCCGGGTCGGTAGATCCGAAATCAAGCCCTTGACCAGCTCAACTCCAAGCCGTTCCCCAAGCTGGCTGGACCAGGCTGGACGGATGACATAAACCTTCCAAATCGAGCCGTTCTACGATACGGAACATCGCCGTCACTTTTGCCACTTGTCCTCTCATGCCGTTCCTCCATCTACTCACTTGGCCTTTTTTCCTCCTTTTCTGTGCAGCCCAGTACCGTCAATATCTAGTACAAGCTCTCGTTTACTTGAGTATAACCGACAGTGCGGAATAGAATACTGTCGAGACCCACTACACTATCTAAGTGCGCGACGCATTCGATGCGTTGGTTTCACTTGCGTGAGGCCCTCATCCACCAATAGCTGACCATGTCATAGGAGGTGAAGGTGTAAGTGGAGCTTGCATGTGATTTCTCTATGAAGGTATGGATGCTGAGGTATAAGAGCTATGGTTTATGTCGGGAACAAGATGAGCACTCTTCATCCTCGATCTGTGATGGCACAAAACCCCACTCCCTACGGTATCCTATTGGAGCACACCCCTGCAATTGTTGACTCCAGTTTTCCCACTCAGTCCATTGCTCCCTCACTGAAGCCTGCTCTTGTTTTCAAGGCGGCGGAGACATGGCTATCAGCTAGGTGACTTCACTGGAGACCTTATTTCCCACACCGTTCAAGAACTCTCCACCTACCAGCACTGCTGAACATCCCTGTTTGGTGTCTCAAGGTCCTTAACAGAGTCTTCGTGTGTCATCCTCTCCACTAGCTGCACAAAATCGCCTCAAGTACATAAGTCATGTTGTATATACCACAATCTTTGTGAACGAGCGACCTGTTACCATATTTGGTGGCTTAGCTGGCAAGCCAAGCTGTGGCTGGGTCTCGGCCAGGAAGCTGACGCCCAGCTAGCTTGATCTCAGCTCGGCTTGCTCCAGCTTGATGATCCAGCTCAATCCAGCTCGTCAGCTTGGCTTAGCTTAGCTGGCTTGGCGGCAACACTAGCTGAGCTGAGCACGACTGAGATCGGGTCCTTTTGGAGCTCCGACAGCCCGAAGGTGGCTGCTTGTCACGCTCAGGAACTCGTTCAGCTCTCTAAGCCTACCTATTGCTCCTATAGCCTCAGAAAAATAGACGTAAGTTCTTCTTGCACTTTAAGAACACACATTGAAACTTGGAGAGAATCAGACTGCAAGAACAGTGAGCCGAGGCCATCAATGTCGTCAAACCCCTCATCTTCCCAACTAATAGTCAAATATCTCGACAACCTCAAGGCCATTTTTTCCAATTCTTTTACGAGACCGTAGAGTAGC